CCAGGGAAATGTACGCTGGCGAAAGAGCGTCACACACTGGAGACAAACCTCGGACCGTGTGGACAAGTGGGTGTGGGCAGGAAGTAGTTTGCTGGGGTTATAGACCAATTTCCAGAAAATTGGCGCCCCCGCCAGGGCAGTCGAGGGAGGGGAAAGACCTCAGCCGTGGGGTAGAGTCTGGCCCTGAGAGGCCCCCTCAATCCCTCCTGTCCCCTCCAGGACCAAGGATGAAATGGAACACGAGGCCTTGGTGGACGGGAACCTGGCAACCGAGGCAAGCCTGGTGGTTCTGGATACACTGGAGATCATCGTGCAGGTAGGGCTTGATCCAGCATCTCCCTCACCTCTGACCCCACCACAGGGCCTTGTGATCTCTGACTCCAGAATCCCTCTCCTTCCCTGACTCCATAACCACCCCAGTCTCTAACAGCTGGATTTCTGGCCCCCCAGACGGTGATGCTGTCAGAGGCCCGGGAGAGTATCTTGGGCGCGGTACTAAAGGTTGTGTTGTACAGTCTGGGCAGTGCCCAGAGTGCCCTCTTCTTGCAGCATGGCCTGGCCACACAGCGGGCCCTGGTATCCAAGGTGAGTACCTCTGACAGCCACGCTTCTTAAGAGTAACAGTCAGGCTTCCCTGGTGGCGCAGTGGTTGAGAGTCCGCCTGCTAGATCGCAGTTTCCCAGGGACCAATTACATGGAGCCTAAATTAATCCAAACATCACTACCTGGTGGCCTTGGCTGGCTTCCAAGCTCAATCATTACGGATAATGTAAGGACTTGGTAATCTTGCTGAGCTATAAGGTAGGCCAAATAGAATAGTCTCTGACTCCCAGAAGAGGCTGCAAATCATTATGTCTCTCCTTTTGGCCATAAAACACGTCCTATTTGCTCATCAATTTCCTTTATAAAACTAGAAGTAGTACCAAGGGAAAAAAAAAAGTTTCCCAGTAGCTTCAATTGAAAGAAACCAGAAGCAATGGTGACTTTCTATCAGACACTTACTATGTGTTCAATAAAATACCATAGTAGGCACCTTACACGTGATCTATTTAGTACTAGCAACTACCAAGTTCAGCAATGAAGATATTATATTATTTCACAGATGACAAATCTGATGTTGAGCTAGTGGCATAAAGCTGATTAGAGACCAGGCCTTTGATTCAAACATAGGTAGGTCCAATTCTAGCACATGTGAGCTTTCCCTTGCACTGCAGTCTTCCAGGAAGAGAGCTGGCTAAAGCCACGGCTGTTGCAATTCTCTGTCTACTGTTGCAGTATCCATTAAGTAATGCATTTTTCTTTTGTAGTACTTGATACTCTTTGAGATATTGGGGACTGGGTCACCAAAAAAAAAAAAAAAAAAAAAAGAGTAACAGTCACAGCCCATTCATTGAGCGACTGTTGTGTGCTCAGCAGCTCCATGAGGCAGACACTCACTCCTTAGCTACAGTTTGCAGAGGAGGGAACTGAGGATCAGAGTGGCAGAGTTACTCACCCGGAGTCACACAGTAAGGGCTTAAACCCAGGTCTGACACCAAAACCTGCTGGGCTTGGCCAGAGAAGGCAGAACACAGACCGATGCTTCTGCCCGTATCCTCATCGGGGACCTTCTGAGCCAGAACGGGGAGGGGCTGACTGGTGTCTGTCCCGCCCTGGGGGCCAGTTCCCAGAGCTGCTGTTTGAGGAGGACACAGAGCTGTGTGCCGACCTCTGCTTGAGGCTCCTGCGACACTGCGGCAGCCGCATCAGCGCCATCCGTACGCACGCCAGCGCCTCCCTCTACCTCCTCATGCGCCAGAATTTCGAGATCGGCAACGTAAGTGGGGGTGTGGCGGGGGGGTGGTGATCTACGGCTCTGGGGAGGGCGGCCGACTAGGGGTCTTGACGCGATAGATGCAGGGCAGGAGGGGAGAGGGGTGAAGTCAGTGGGTCGAGCAGGCTCTGGTGTGAGGGTCCGAGGTCCACAGTCAGGCGTCCTCTTCCTCCCGGCCCACCCAGAACTTTGCCCGCGTGAAGATGCAAGTGACTATGTCGCTTTCGTCCCTGGTGGGGACAACGCAGAACTTCAGCGAAGAGCACCTGCGACGTTCACTCAAGACCATCCTCACCTATGCCGAGGAGGATATGGGGCTGCGGGACAGCACCTTTGCTGAGCAGGTGACCCCGCCGGACCCCCGCCCCACCTTCCGCAGCCAGGGCCTTTGCCGTGCCATGCTTGACCCCTGACCCCACCACCTCGGCTCCGTCACTCCTGGCCATTCCCCCGCTCCAGGTCCAGGACCTGATGTTCAACTTGCACATGATCCTGACTGACACGGTGAAGATGAAGGAGCATCAGGAGGACCCGGAAATGCTCATTGACCTCATGTACAGGTGAGGAGGGCCGGTTGGAACCTTCAGCCATTCACAGACAGGTGAGGGGAGAGGAGGTGGTGAGAGGGACAGGTGGGGAGGGAGCAGGTGAGTGTACAGGTAATAAGAGAGACAAGTAAGGATGGACACGTGAAGGTGACCAAGTGAGAGGGCAGACGGGTGAGGGGCCAGGTGAGCAGACAGGTGAGGGCAGGTAAAAATGGTGCCAGATGAACACACAGATGAGGATGACAGAGGAGCACAAGAATAAGTGAGGGGGGGACAGGTGGGAGAGACAGGTGAGGTGCTAACCCATGAAGGGGTGACAGATCGAGGAGAGTGAAGGGTATTTAGTAAGAAACTGGGCAGTGGGAGATGGGGGCCCAGGTGATGGAGACAGGGAAGGCAGGGGGCATACAGAAGGGATGGGCCTGGGTAGACCCAGAGTGACACTTGTGGGGGTAATGAAGAGATGGACAGGTAAGGAGTGGGATAAGTTAGGAGACAGGTGAATGGGGTAAAGGTGAGGAGATTGGCTGGGGCAGATGGGTGGGGTCACAGGTGAAGGGGATGGACAAGTGAGGGGTGAGCAGGGGGGCAAGGTGATTCTCCATCCTCCTCACATCCCCCCTCACCTGGGTTCTAGGATTGCCCGGGGTTACCAGGGCTCCCCAGACCTGCGGCTGACATGGCTGCAGAACATGGCGGGGAAGCACGCGGAGCTGGGCAACCACGCGGAGGCTGCGCAGTGCATGGTTCACGCGGCCGCCCTGGTGGCCGAGTACCTCGCTCTGCTGGAGGACAGCCGCCACCTGCCTGTGGGCTGTGTTTCCTTCCAGGTGAGCGGCAGGGATGGGGGGATGGGGGGTGGGGTAGTGGCGGGCAGGGGGTGGCACACGTGGGCCGAGGACCAGGCTCTGATGCCACCTCCCACCGCAGAACATCTCGTCCAACGTGCTGGAGGAGTCCGCCATCTCTGACGACATCCTGTCGCCTGATGAGGAGGGCTTCTGTTCCGGGAAGCACTTCACGGAGCTGGGGCTGGTGGGGCTGCTGGAGCAGGCAGCCGCCCACTTCACCATGGTGAGGCCTGGGGCCGGGGCGGCATCGTGCATCTGCTGATGGGCCCGATACCCGCTCCCAGAGACTCAGGGTGAAGCTGCTGCCCGGACCCTTTCTGGGCAGGGGATTTGTGGACAAGGATTGGGATCCCTCAGAGGCCCCGTTACCTGCCTTTCTCCCCATAAAACCCTTGACACGTGGTCTGGATGTAATAAGCCTTGAATATATTCAGTTACCATTTTAAATTCTTTTTTTTTTTTTTTTTTTTTT